GCTAAGTTTGAACATTTGGTGAGGGCTAAAGTCACTCTAATTTTTTTGCTGTGGATCAAAGAGACCAAAGCTATTTGTCTGGGGCTTTCAAATACTTCTTGGTAGTAGGAATTATTTGAAGTGGTCACAGACTGGGGTTTCTGTTCTTTATTATCTAGTCTCTGTGGTGTGTGACCAGCTGCCCTTCCCTTTCTCCTAGGATCCCAGGTGGGATTTGCTCTTTTATTTTTAAACAAAGGCAGATTCCCTTTCTATGGAGACCTCTCACTAGCACCCGTACCTTTCACGTTCACTGGTGTGTGTCAACCTCACACATTCACACCCCGCACTTCTCTGCTTCTGAGGATTAATTCCCCTCAGACCGGTCTACAAAGATTTGTTTCTGACATAGCACCTCTGAGAGTTACTAGCTTTCTCCAAAGACCCCTTTGTTTACAGCTTGTTCAGCTTATCTGATTATTTAGAGGAGAAAATTCTCAATTACATGCTAATGTATGTATGACACTCTTAACACTCACATGCTAATGTATTTTAACACTCTTAATACTTAGCGATAGCGCCTTTAGCAAAGAGGGTGCAGTCACAGCTCTGTAGTAGCAGGGGTGAAAGGGGGTGGGCAGGTGATGATGTGGGAGTGAGCTGATATTCAGGGTGCCCCTGAATACTATAAATCCAGCATCCTTTCCTGAAAAGGAATTAAAACCTTCCCACACAACAAAACCAAAACGCAAGTCAGACTTATTACTTAATATTCCCAAACTTTTAGTTTGAGGAGATCTTTTTATGGACAAAAATACCTGTAGATTGGCCTTTCCATATGGTTGTGTTTTACTACCCACTGATTAAGAATATTTGGAATGAGTTACCCTTTAAAAAAAAGTTTTATTTTATTAATACAGGAAAATCTACATGCATTTGGGGGAAAAAAAGTAGTATACGTATATGTTTAAGTGTTAGATGATCTAACAAAACTAGGGATGCTGCTGTACCCCCTGAACAATTTTGAATTTTGTGATGGTGGGAACATGGAAATTTCAGGACTTCAAGAAGCAGAGACCTGTTTAAAGATTGCACTCACAACTTTCTTCCCTATCCATTGCAAAAGCAAGCAAACCCGCATGTCCCCTCACTGAAGCCATTCCTTGGCCTGCATGTTGCCATCTTCTTCCATTCAAGTGGTCATGAGCCCAGAACTGATGTGGTCATGGGGATGCATATGGAAAGTGCTCCCCCAGCATACAGCTAAGCTGCTGCTGGCCGGATCCAGTCACCCTGTCCAAAAGGAGTAAATGTCCCCATCCCTGTCAGCCTGCAACGAACGTCCGCTCTGTCTTCCTTTCCCTTCTGTGGCTCGGTGAAGCAGAAGCTTCTCCTACTATTTTGTGGAAAGAGAAATGGCAAACAAGCATACATTCTATAACAAAGAGGAATTTTTATGGCTGATATGCATTCTTCCTCACTATTAGTGTTCTCTTATTCTATAAAGCCTTGATTCATATTGTTTTTATGAAATAAATCTGTTTTCACCACTTATTTATTAATAACTAGGTGTGAACAGAGAAGAACCAGATAAAAAGCTATATTGTATTTCTGACTAAAAAGGAACACTGGTGGTGGTGGTGGGGTGGAATCCCTGGGTGGCTCAGCGGTTTAGTGCCGCCTTCACCCCAGGGCTTGATCCTGGAGACCCCGGATCGAGTCCCACATCGGGCTCCCTGCATGGAGCCTGCTTCCCCCTCTGCCTGTGTCTCTGCCTCTCTCTCTCTCTCTGTGTCTCTCATGAATAAATAGATAAAATCTTTAAAAATATATAATAAAATAAAATAAAAAATAAAAAGGAACCCTATAGGGGGACCTGGCTGGCTCCGTTGGTAGAGTGTGCGGCTCTTGATCTTAGGGTCCAAAGTTTGAGCCTTACGTTGGGCATGGAGCTTCCTTAAAATAAATACATTAATTTTTTTAAAAGAAACACTGTATAGACATGGGATTGATGTAAGTCAAATCACAGGTTTCCATGATAGCCAATTAGAATGCTTCGTTTCAAGACTTATGACTGCATAGGGGATGCCATGAAGCATTGGAGGTCCTGATATTGCAAGGACTTCGTAGAGAAGAACCGACAAGAACATTTTGTGATGACTGAACACATAGTAGTTAGAAGATGAAGAAGAAATATAAATGTAATACTAAGAGAACTTGACTCTCCCAGAAGGTAGGATTTATAATCTTAATATCTCCAAGTGAGATGTGTTTACAGACATGCTACAGTGCTTGTCCTGCTAGCACCTGACTCCATAGTGCCTTGTCTTTCAAAGCTTTTCATTAATCAGAAGCTCACAGTCTCTGGCATTAGCCATGATCATGAAAACCATGACCGTATAGAAATTGTCAATTGAATAAAAGAATATAGAATTGTCGATTGTATAAAAGAGAGCAGGACTTACCATTTTTTTGCCTTCACACTTGGAAGGAACTCTTCGATCTTGTTACCTGGTTTAAGAAGATACAAGCAGAGTCTGTTAATGCCATCTGCTTCTCGTGTCAGGACCTCAGCTTTTATACAGGGGACTTTCCCAGTGGTCACCCAGACCAGGAGGAGACGTGATACTTATTCAAGCCCTACTTGGGTTGATTCGCAGTTCCTTGTGGCTACAGTTCCCCTGTGGCTCCTGCAATGGTTCACAGTCCATGAAATGGGAACCATGGATCTAGGCCCTTTTAATTATAGTGAGGGGAGGTTTCAGGTTATCTCATTTAAATTATTAATGTTATGGGATCCCTGGGTGGCACAGCGGTTTGGTGCCTGCCTTTGGCCCAGGGTGCGATCCTGGAGATCCAGGATCGAATCCCACGTCGGGCTCCCGGGGCATGGAGCCTGCTTCTCCCTCTGCCTGTGTCTCTGCCTCTCTCTCTCTCTCTGTGACTATCATAAATAAATAAAAAAAATTTAAATTATTAATGTTATACTGCCATGTATGCCCTCCATTATAATTATTTTCCTTTCACTTCTCTTTCTCTACAAAATATGTAGTTAAGATGATTTGACTTTATAAAAGATGTATTTTCTAGAAGATGTCAGAGAGGTTGAAGTGGGGCAGTTATTATTGCCACAAGCTTAGATTCTCTGTTAATAGCTAGAGACTCTGTTGAGTGATCCTCACCCAAAGGAAATTAATTTTGGGCGTGTGTGAGGGGAAGCAGTTGTATGCACACAGTAGAAGGTTCATGGGATTTTCAATGAGATTTGGCATCCAAACTCATCTTGTACTCTTTGCAGTGCAATGGCTTCGAGGAATCCTATATACTCCTGAAATAGTGTTTCTCAACCTGAATGGTTATTAATTTTGAAAGCTTTTTATTCTTTTCAGAGTCATTGTATGCCTTTTTGTTTAGGACTGATCCAAAGCCATTCTCATTTACATCATTGTATCTGTTAGGGTCCAACCAGGAAACAGAAACACCTAGATTATTTTTTAAAGAGGAAATTTATTTTTTTATTTTTATTTTTAAAAGATTTTATTTATTTTTTCATGAGAGACACAGAGAGAGAGAGGCAGAGACAGGAAGAGGGAGAAGTAGGCTCCCTGCGGGGAGCTCGATGTGGGACTCGATTCCAGGACCCCCGGGATCATGACCAGAGCCGAAGCAGATGTTCAACCATTGAGCCACCCAGGCGTCTCTAAAGAGAAAATTTAATGCAGGAAATTGGCTTCACCTGATAGAAAAGGCTGAGACGGTAACTGGCAAGTAGTCAACTCAGAGGTTAGCAATTTCAGGAAGTTGTGATCTGCCCTAGGTAGGGGAAAGGTAAAGGCAGGAAGATGTTACTGGAGTCTAGGAGTCACCAGTAAAAGCTCAAGGACTGGGACGCCTGGGTGGCTCCGTGGTTGAGCGGCTGCCTTTGGCTCAGGGCGTGACCCCGAGGTCCTGGGATTGAGTCCCACGTCAGGCTCCCTGCGTGGAGCCTGCTTCTCCCTCTGCCTGTGTCTCTGCCTCTCTCTGTGTCTCATGAATAAATAAATAACTTCTTTTTTTTTTCATGAATAAATAAATAAATTCTTTTTTTTTAAATAAATAAATTCTTAAAAAAAAAAAAAGTCAGCTCCCTGTGATACAGAGCAGGGTAAGACATCTATCTGAGGACAAACAGCTCTCAACAGCATACTCATCTGTTACTGGGATTAACCTTGTTATAGAATTTATTAACATAAAAAATAATTTATTAACATAGAATTGTAATGCAATCTTCCTGCATACTTTTCACACATTCAGTAGGTATAATGATATATTTATTCTTCCATCCAAATTTTTCATTCTTTTACCTTCTTTGTGCAACTGTTAAATAACCCTGGAGATTACACATAACAACCAGTCAACGGGCTCAATGGTGTTTAAAACTCATAAATAGTAATTATGTTATTAACTACCTTAATAGTTAATGAAGCACTTTCACATATACTGCTTGATCTTATAAAAACTCTGAATAGTTATTATTATCCCCACTTTATAGAAGGATTATCTGAGTCTTGGAGACTTTAAATGAATTGCTCAAGGACAAAAAAACAAATACTGGAGCCAGAATTCAAACCCTGGTCTGTCTGATTCTAAATCCCATAATTTTCCCATGCTGCCTCATGAGAGAAAGACTTGCCCAGAGGGAAGGGCAATAATTTTTCTTTTCTGGTTGGCTAAGTTTATTAGGAGGAAGGAGAAAATAGATTTTAAATTTGCAGAAATTTTCTCATTGACCCAGAAATTAAAATCATACTCTGGGCATGACATCAGGCCTATCTAGCATTCCAGTCTTCAGTATAAATTGAAATTGACTGTTCTTTAAGGGTCATTGTCACAGTAGCATGTACCATACCAAGCCTGACAGAGGGTGTGAGGGAGGAAGGGAGGGGACAAGTCCATGGTTCCCTGTCTTTTTTTTTTTTTTAAGATTTTATTTATTTATTCATGACAGACACACACATACAGAGAGAGAGAGAGGCAGAGACACAGGCAGAGGGAGAAGCAGGCTCCATGCAGGGAGCCCGACATGGGACTCGATCCCAGGACTCCAGGATCACGCCCTGAGCCGAAGGCAGGCATTCAACCGCTGAGCCACCCAGGCGTCCCTGTCTGTCTTCAATAAAATACAGGACACCCAGTGAGGTTTGAATGTCATATAAACATTGAATTTCTTTAGTATAAGTATGACCGAAATATTGCATGGGACATATTTACACTAAGAAGTTATTTGGAGCAGCCCGGGTGGCTCAGCGGTTTAGCGCCACCTTCAGCCCCGGGCGTGATCCTGGAGAACTGGGATCGAGTCTGGCGTCGGGCTCCATATGTGGAGCCTGCTTGTGTCTCTGCCTCTGTGTGTGTGTGTGTGTGTATCTCATGAATAAATAAAATCTTTTTTTTTTTTTTAAAGTTATCTTACATCCAAATGGCATCCTGTAATTTGCTAAATCTGGCAACCTTATCTCAAGGTGGGCAGTGATCCCAAGGTTGTTTCCTGTGCCTGTGTTTCCTGGGATGATCCTAAGGACAGAGCCCATATGGCTCTCCTTTTGCCATCTGTGCCCTGTACATGCCCTGAGGTAGTAGTTCCTGCACAGGTGCAGAAGCGGAAGGAGGGCTAGGAAGGGGATTCCCAGTGTCTGGCACAGACTGATGCATTCTGAATTAGAGGTTCCCTCTGTGGTAAGGAGAGCTGACCTGACCTGAAGTGAAGGCTAAAGTTGATTTACCTGGTTTCACTTTGTTTTTCTGCTAGTCTGTTTTCACTGCTGAGTATTCAGATCTGACTAGGAAGTTAAAGTTAGCCTCAGAGATGTGTAAACTCATTCAAAGAAAGAGGAAGGGGCCCAAGGTGGCCTGGATGTGGGTCCCCTGGAATAGGTGAGGAGGTTCAGATTAGTGCTCGTCCTGCTGGCTTCGGAGACTAGGAAACAGGCCCTGTGGTCCCTCCAGAGGCAGATGGCAAGGAGAGGACGGGGCAGATGAAATGCTGGGCCAGGCACTTGCCTCTGATTGTGAGGAACGCAGAGCTGAGCCGGAAATGCCACTGGGCTATAAGCCCTCCCAGCAGGAGGGCAGTCAGTTCAACAGCACCTTCAGGGAGGGAAACTATCCTGGTTCCTCATCCTGGAGCTCAGAGGGGGGACCCTGGGGTCTGCTCTCAGCTCTGCTCCTAAGTTGATCTGGAGCCTCGAATAAGGCCCTATTGTCTCTGGGCCTTTGAACGTTCTCCTCTAGAGCTATGATGGCAGAGGGTATAGTAGATTTCCATCATGGTTTCTCTCAGTTCTAAAATTGTTGCTATATGTGTAATTTTAAGCCTTCTCATGGTTCCTGTTTACTGGCCAGGGAAGAGGGCTGGCGACCAAAGTTCATCAATAATACTTACTATATCTGAAGATTACTTTTCATTTGCCCCTCAGTGTTTTCTCTTATCCAGGCAAAATACCAAAGTCCTTTTTTTTTTTTTTTCCAGAAGGCTGTATCCAAATGAGTTAACCAGTGAGATCTACCCTCCTAAAAACCTCATGTCAACATAGTAATTACTAACTCTATGGGACCAGAAGCTACAATTAATGTTTCAATCCCATTTCAGCATTCTTTCACTCATTTATTCATTTGGCAAATATTTATGGAGCTCAGAAGACGCTTCAGGCAGATTTGAGGTCTGGGAGGAAAACTTCAGCAGAACTACAAAACATGCCAAACTCCAGGTGACCTCAGACCTAGTTCCTCAAGTCCTTTGCCTCTCTCTTCTGTTGGTGGGATCTTAAAGTTTCAGTGTTCAGCCACCTGTACATCAAATGTAGAGGCAAAACAAAAATAAGTTGCGATGAAAGCTTGAAAGTGTTGGCTAACAAGGTATTTGAATAATCTGTGGGTTTCCACCTCCTTATAGCTGTGGGCCTCCAAGACCAGACATAGCTGGGAACTGGCTCTTTCTACCAAGAGCGCAAAGCAGCCTTTGAGCATGTCCTTCTCTTACCCATTTTTTCCTTGCCCTCTGTCCCCAGTGCTGCACTTGAGATGGAGTTACTGCCCCTCTGGCTCTGCCTGGGTTTTCACTTCTTGACCTTGGAATGGAGAAATCGAAGTGGAATGGCCACAGCAGCTTCCCAAGGCGGCTGCGAGTTGGTGAGTTTTCCCGGGAACTCTGAGCTGTCTGTTGCTTCTGTCCTGACAAGGATTGGTCCATTTGGAAAACTGGTGGATTGTCCATCAAAGAGGGCAGGGAATAAAGAAACCTGAAATCACTCTGTAGCTGGCTGGCACGATGCTGTGTGCAAGCTGCTCCTTAACCAAAGGTTAAGATTATACCTGGGAAGGGCCAGGCCTAGGTCAGATACCCGGAACAAGAACACCTTGTTAAAAATCTGGATGATTGAGCTCCACTAATGGTATCAGAATCCCTGTCTAGGGCATAGTAGTAAAGTTGGGTAAACCCTGACTCAGAGCTTGTCTATGAGCCAACAGCAGACATGCAAACAGCTGCCCTCGCTGTGCTGCAGACCAACATCCTTGATCACATTCAGGCTTAAGATGATTCAGGGAGTGGAGAGCTGAGCTTTTCCAGTTTACCCTCTCCAGGGCTTTCAGCCTATATGTGGAAACAGACTTGGCTCATAACACCTGAGCACATTTCTGGAAATTTTCTCCCTTGCCTATAAGTCCATGATATCAAAAGTCTGCTTGGGCGACATACATTTAATAAACATTTCTCAGGTAGGTCCTGTTATATACTAGGCACTAGAAAGACAAATTGAATGTTGGGGTTAATACCTATGTTCGAAAATATGTTCTTAAAGCTGATAAATCTGAAAAACCCAGCTGGTCATGATTCTTAGCCAGTTTTAGTAACCTCTAACCACTATGCTGTGTGGTATTTTCCAGTATGGAGTGGGGGTTATGAGCCAGACCAGGTTTGAACCCCAGCTTACTGGCTGGTGACAGTGGCAGGAGGGGCACTCTGTGTCTCAGTTTCCTCCTCTGTGAGATATGGAGTAGTGGTACCAACCAATGATACCCTAACCCTGCATTGTCATGATGATGAAATGGGTTAGTGTATATAAAGCTCTCAGAACAGGGCCTTGTATGTAGTAGCAGCTGCGGGTCTTATCTGTTATTCTTGTTGTTAGGCTGTGCTACTACAGTCTTCCATTATTCCCTTACAGAAGCAATGGAAGATTAACTCTTGTGAAGGGAGGCTAATTCGGGAAAGAGGAGGGAATAAAGTGTAAGTTCTTGGATAGCTTTTCAGGGTTCAGACCCCCTGCCTGACCCTCTCCAGCCTGGCGCGCAGGAGCAGGGGTCAGGGGTTGGCTGGCAGGGAGCTCCAAGAGTGGATTAGGTGAGGCTCTTTGAAGGCTGAGAGTTTTGAGAGCTCAGGTGGCCCCCTTGCCTAGTTATCAGAGAATGAACATGGTGAGGTCTCAGGCTCTGACAGCCATTCCGTGGGGGTGCAGGGAATTGCAGAGGTGTGACGCCATAGCTGCAGCAGCTGTGGTGAGGATCTCACAGCTTGAAGAAAAGCCCCTGACCGCAACATTCTCCAGAGAGTCCCTGTTAGGAGGAGGCCAGCACTTCCTCAAAGAAAGAAATACACCTTATTTCTGCGTGGGGAGATCGAGCTTTGTAAAGATGGCAGTTATCCCCCCAATTCACCCATAATTATAATGCGATTCCAATCAAGATGCCCAAGACATTGGAGGGGAGGGGAAGTGTGAAAGGAAGTTGACACATTCTTTCCGATGTTCCTCTGGAAATTAGAAACAGCTCAAACGCTCAACAATAGATTAGTCGAGTGATGCTAATCATCGGAGCTAACGTTTATCAAGCACTTAGGGGCCGGGTTCTGTATTGTTTGACGTAAACAATCACACGGAGTCCACAAGGAAAAAAAAAAAAAAGCTGCTAGTGGAGTAACGAAGGTCCCAACGGTTAGAGAACCAGCCCGAAGTCACCCGTTTGATGAAAAGCAGAACCGAAAGGGGCTGCCGCCAGGATGCTTGCTCCTACTTGCGCAGGGGGCGCTGAGAGCCGGGTGCCTAGTAGGACGGGATGGGGTTTATTTTCGTTGCCCTGGGGGTGTGTCTGTGGGCACTTCGGGGGGCGTGGGAGTAGGTTACTGGACGGCTTGCTGAGCTGACCGTTTGCACAAAGCAAAGCTCCCCTTTCGTTCCGCATTTCCCCGTCCTTTTTCCGAGAAGCAAAGAGGGTGTCCAGGGCCGCTGGCAGCGGTGCCGCGCGGGTCCCTGCGGGAGGCGCGCGCCCCGGGGCCGCCTCCGTGCTGACCGCTGTGTCCGGGGACCTAGGTTGACGGAGGGGCCGACTGCCGCGGGCGGAACCTCGAGGCCGTGCCCGCCGACCTGCCGGCCTCCTCCCGGCGCCTCCTCCTGGACGCCAACCCGCTCGGGACCCTGTGGAACCACTCGCTGGGCCGCTACCCGGAGCTCGAGAGCCTCAGCCTGCGCGGCTGCCGCCTCGAGCGCATCGGCCGCGCCGCCTTCCGAGGCCAGGCCCGCGTGCGCAGCCTGGCGCTGCCCGACAACCGCCTGGGCGAGAGCTACCGGGACGTGGCGGCCGCCTTCCGGGGCCTGCGGGATCTGCGGACGCTGGACCTGTCGGGGAACGCTCTGACGGAAGACATGGTGGCCGCCCTGCTGCGCCATGTGGCGTCGCTGGAGTCGCTGGCGCTGGCGCGGAACGCCATCATGCGGCTCGACGAGTCGGTGTTCGAGGGCCTGCGGCGCCTCCGGGAGCTCGACCTGCAGCGCAACTACATCTTCGAGATCGAGGCGGGCGCCTTCGACGGCCTGGCGGGGCTGCGGCGCCTCAACCTGGCCTACAACAACCTGCCGTGCATCGTGGACTTCCGCCTCACGCAGCTGCGCGTGCTCAACGTCAGCTACAACGCGCTGGAGTGGTTCCTGGCGGCGGGCGGCGCGGCCTTCCAGCTCGAGACGCTCGACCTGTCGCACAACCAGCTGCTCTTCTTCCCGCTGTTGCCCGGCTGCGGCCGCCTGCGCACGCTGCTGCTGCGCGACAACCTGCTGGGCTTCTACGCGCGCCTGGACAACGCGTCGGCGCCGCGCGAGGCGGTGGCGCAGTTTGTCCTGCTGGATGGCAACGAGACGCGCGTGCGCACCGTGCGCCTGTGGGACGAGGCGGCGGCCGGCGACCTGGGCGAGCTGCGCGTGCTGGACCTGAGCCACAACCGCTTCCGGTACCTGCCCGACGGCTTCCTGCGCGCCATGCCGGCCCTGGCCCGCCTCAGCCTCCGCCGGAACTGCCTGGCGTCGCTGCACTTCCGGCCGTGCGAGCCGCCCGCGGCGCTCGCGGAGCTCGACCTGAGCCACAACCTGCTGGCCGAGCTGCGCGTGGCGCCGGGCCTCCGCGGCCGCCTGCCGAGCCTCCGCGCCTTCAACCTCAGCTCCAACCGGCTCGCGGGCGTCCCGGCCGGCCTCTTCGCCGCCGCCGCCAACCTCAGCGCCGTGGACCTGAGCCACAACCGCATCGCGCTGTGTCCCGCGCCCCGCGGCCGCGCGGCCTGCGTGGACCTGCGCAACGCGGCGTCGCTGCGGAGCCTGGCGCTGGAGGGCTGCGGGCTGCCGCCGCTGCAGGAGCACGCGCTGCAGGGCACGGCGCTCACGCACCTGGACCTGTCGGGCAACCACGGCGTGCTCAACGGCTCCGTGGGCGCGCTGCGGGCCGTGGCCGCCACCCTCCAGGTGCTGGCGCTCAGGAACGTGGGCCTGGGCCGCGGCCTCCCCGAGCTGGACCTGACGGGCTTCGGGAGCCTCCGCGACCTGGACCTGTCGGGGAACGCGCTGCGCGCCTTCCCGCGGCTCGGCGGCGGCCCGGCCCTGCGGCGCCTCGACCTGCGCGGGAACCGCCTCACGGCGCTGCCGCGGAGCGCGGTGGCCGAGCCGCTGGCGCGGGGCCTGCGCACCATCTACCTCAGCCAGAACCCCTACGACTGCTGCGGCCTGGACGGCTGGGCCGCCCTGCAGCGCCTGCACGCCGTCGCCGACCTGGCCGCCGTCACCTGCAGCCTGTCCTCCAAGGTGCTGCGCCTCGCCGAGCTGCCCGGGGGCCCGCCGCGCGACTGCCGGTGGGAGCGCGTGGACACGGGCCTGCTGTACCTCGTGCTCGTCCTCCCCAGCGGCCTCACCCTGCTCGTGGCCGGCACCGTGCTCTCCCTCACCTTCAGGAAGCCCCTGCTGCGCCTCATCAAGAGCCGCTGCCACTGGCCGTCCGTCTACTGAGCCGGCCCGGCGACCGGCGCCGCCACGGCCGGCTTTCCCGACCCGGTGCAGGCGACAGGCCCCGCGAACCGAGGTTCAAGTTAAAGCCTGAAATGTCGCCGCCCCTGGTGGTCCCCGGGCGCGCCCTCCCACACTGTGCGCCACCCTCATCGCCCTGGGAAAATATTTATTAAGCGGTGCCCCGCGACGATAAAACAACGTGTCTCGTAAATGTTTTTTAAATGAAACTCGACTTGTGTTTTCTTTCCTTTTTTAAAAAATTTTGTTCATTCATGAGAGACACACACACTGAGAGACAGAGAGAGAGAGAGAGAGGCAGAGACACAGGCAGAGGGAGAAGCAGGCTCCATGCAGGGAGCCCGACGTGGGACTCAATCCAGGGCTCCAGGATCACGCCCTGAGCCACCCAGGCATCCCTAGACCTTATTTTACAGATGAGGAAACTGAGGTTTAGGGATGTTAAGTTGCCCACACAGACCGCTAACTTGGTAAACCTAAAAATAGAAACCGCTTGTCCCATATGGTAACAGCTAGGATTCTGCGTGTCTTCAAAGTCCTTTATATTGTAAATTGCTTAACTTCCCTGGTCTTCATCATCTTCCAGCTGTTTTTCTTTTTTATGAAGATTTTATTTATTTACCCACGAAAGACACAGAGAGGCAGAGACACAGGCAGAGAGACAAGCAGGCTCCGTGCAGGGGGGAGCCAGATGTGGGACTCGATCTCAGGACCCTGGGTCACACCCAGAGAGCCAAAGGCAGACGCTCAACCACTGAGCCACTGGGGCTGCCTCCCTCCTTCCCTCCCTTCCTTCCCTTCCTTCTTTCTTCCCTTCCTTCCTTCCTCCTTCCTTCCTTCTTTTCTTCCTTCCTTCCTTCAAGGGGCGCAGTTTGGAGCCATCCTAGGGCAAGAACCACTCCAAGAGCATGTCCTGTGGAGGCGAGAGACAGTGCCCTGAGGGGTCACCAAGGATGACAAAAGCAGAACAGGGCAGGAGCACCGAGATGAGAGTCCTCCTGGCCTCCGGTGGCCTCCTGTCACTGCCCTCCTGTCACTGCCCGCGTTGCCAAGTGCAGCCTGAGTGGCCTTGGGCACCGCCCTCTCGGAGTGCCCTGCGCACACACCTGCAGTCTCACCCCCCCCCCCCCCCCCGCATGGAAAAGTTAAGATAACCCGACCCTGAGATTATTCATGCAAGGAACCAAGCACCAGGCACAGTCGTTCTGAGGGAAAGGAAAGAGCGATGGAGGAAGGAGTGGCTTCTGCTAACCTGTGTACCCCCACTCTTCCCCAAAACCACAACTCCCCCCCAGGCTGAGCAGCCGCCCCCAGGACATCCCTGCTTTCCTTCTCCTTCCATGGTGAGTAGAGAGCAATTTCTGGGCTCCTCGAGGAAAGGCGACGAAGACACAGACCTTGCCCTTTCGGTAGCTCAATCTCTGCTGGCCTTGCACTTTCTTTGTTTCTCAACCCAGAGAGGGGCCTATTGCAGGGGGAGCGTGGGGGGAGGGGAGGGTGGGGTGGGGACGGGAAGCCCACATTACCATGGAGATTAGATGTCAGCAGAAATGTTTAGGCAAATCAGAGATATGAACAGTGGTCTTAATTTGACAAAGCAGAAACTTCCCTGGGCTGCCCTGCAAGGGCAGAAGGGCCACTCGGCGAGGCCCACCCTCCACCCCTCCTGCCAGCGCGGCTCTCCCCGGCCAGCGCTGCCCTGGCCCCGGGCCTTGCACGTCCCTCGGGTTCCCTTGGAACCTGGGCGACCCCATCAGCCCGTGCCCATAAGAGCAGACTCCCCTGAGCCTCTGTCCCCATCAACACAAACACACTTTTCTGGGGTCCTGCTGTTTCCCGAGGTGACAACCAGCTAATTCAACAAACAAATCTATGTGTAGTTTGTACATTTATGGCTTCTCTTGAGTTCATTTGTGCCTCTCCCCTGCCCCCCCCCTCGTAGAGGTAACGGTCTTAGGTTCTTGCAACTGAGGATGACTCTTAGGCAGCGTGAGGCTTTAGTAAAAGGCTAGTGAGAAGCTCCAGACTCTCCAGGAAGGCTGAGGAAGAGAGCTGGGAAACGGGCAGGAGCCAGGATGCTACCCAGCAGTTGGGACTGCAGCCCAAATCATCCCATAGACGATAATCATGAGGACGTGACTGCAGCCACCCCCTTCCTGCTGGACACCACAGTTTGCCCTGTGCCGTGGACAGCTCTGGACAGGGCCGCTGCTGCTGCTGCCACCCACTGCCAAAATAAATGGCCTCCCAAATTCTGCCGTCTTGTATCACTAGCTCCTGACGCACAATCTGGGGCAAGGGGACCCAGTCGGTTGACCCTAGGTCATGTGCCCCTGCCCTGGCAGTAGAAAATGGGTTCTGCTTCCTATAAATACTTACAAGGGGTGGAGTTCTTAAAACAGGAAGGGAAGTTCAATGTTGAGATGGCAAAAAGAAAGACAAATGTGCAGCACACCCTTTCAGGCAGCCTGTGCATTAGCAGAGGACTCCTTGAAGCACATTCTTAGCCTAGAGGAGTGACTTGAGTGATGGGAACTTGAGACACACCCTCATGCCAGCAAGGGAGGTAGTCTGGGGTCGGCAGGCCTTTCAGAACCACTCAGGTCACAGCGTGTAGCTCACCACCCACTCCACCTGTGCTTAGGGCCTAGCCTTGCAGAGTGGCAAATTGCAAAGATGTTGGGACAGAGCCCGACTCTTGCCCGTGGTAGTGACTGTGGAAGGCTGTGGCCTTTCCTAAATTGATCGTCCGTCACGAGAGTCCAAAGGTGATTGCCTAGGTTTCTTTCAGTATGGTGAGAAGAATGAGAGCAGCAGGTGGATTTCTGCATCCAGTTCTGAGCTGTGCTTCACCAGCAAATTCTGTACCTTTGTCCTCCTTTGCCCACCCCTCCCTCCACCTACAGGAGAAGAGTGCACTCTACCATCCACTCTGAGCAGGCCACAGGCACAAGGACCCACACAGCCTGTTTCAGGTTCCCTGGCAGGACCAGATGGTGTCTGCCTAAGGCCTCCCAGACAGCCAGATTGGGCAGCAAGTGGTTCTTCCTCAGTGGGTGGGAAGTGGAGGCCACCTCCAGTTGCCACATGCCAGGATATTCAGAATTAAAAAATAATGTCAGCGATTGAACTGAGTGATGATAATCCAGATTTTGAAAATCCAGTCCTAAAACGAGAGTTAAGATTTTCCTGGAGGTCCAAAATAGGTTACTAGGGTCAACTGATTTTTTTTAACGCCCCTGTTGGAAAAAAAAAAGGATAGGGCAGCCCAGGTGGCTCAGCGGTTTAGTGCCGCCTTCAGCCCAGGGCCTGATCCTGGAGACCCGGGATCAAGTCCCATGTCAGGCTCCTTACATGGAGCCTGCTTCTCCCTCTGCCTGTGTCTCTGCCTCTGTCTCTCTCTGTGCCTCTCATGAATAAATAAATAAAATCTTAAAAAAAAAAAGGATAAACTATAATCCTTGTTTCATATCACCGGTCATCTTTTGTCTTCACAGATCCATACAGGGCCCACTTTTGCTCCAAGTGCCAAGTATCTTCCATTTACCCCCGCAGATCCACTCTCCACGCTTCTCTGTCCTGCTCCAGGAGGCTGACCTCAATGGGCCCCGTTACTCTCTGGTTTCCAATTGTTACTGGCTAAGATGGGCCCTTGGCAGACCAGAGGGAAGAAGGGTGGTGAGGTCAGGGTGTATTTTTCTCCCACTGTTCCCTCTAGATTTGTCTCAAACTGGCGGCACTTACAACCAAAGTTCACACTCCCCTTAAGGTGCCCCTTTCTACACAAACCTCTGCCTCGAAGTTCCAGGAGCCACTAAAGATGGGTAACAGCTCCGTCATTACCAGTCCCAGGTCATTGCATCAGGCCTGTGGTTTGCCTTTCCCTGCCCATCCCTTTATACACAGTCTCCTTCTAAATCCTCCTCGAGCCATCCTTGGGTTAATATGATTCCCACATTCACTATCTGTTTCCTGTTGGGACCCTGAGCAAGGCAGTTGGCTACTTGTTTAGTAATTCTGAACCAGAGAAGTCTCGGTACTTGTGTTGGAAAACCACAGAAGGCTAAGGATCCAGCCAGAGGTACAGAGGCAAGTGCCCGGGACATGGTTGTCTCTGCGGTCCATTGTGAATGGGCATGAGGAAGATGGCACCCCTCATCATATTACAGATATATTCAGATGTGACCCAAATTGGAGAGGGTGATGTTCTCAGGCGTGGTGACCCTCTTTTAAAAAGCGTGGGTATCGTGGGGCACCTGGGTGGTTCAGTCGGTTAAGGTCTGACTCTTGATTTCAGCTCAGGTCATGATCTTGAGCTCTCTCGTCTGCGCTGAGTGTGGAGTCTGCTTGAGGTTCTCTCTCTCCTTCTCCCACTGCCCCTTCCCCAAATCCTCCTGCTTGCACTAAATAAATACATAAATAGGATATGTTAAAAGTATGTGTATTGTGATGGCATGGCACCAACGAAAACAGGCAATAGGGCTAGGGAAAACGGTGGCTGTTTTGTTTTTGAAGGTTTATTTATTTATTCATGAGAGACACAGAGAGAGGCAGAGACACAGGCAGAGGGAGGAGCAGGCTCCATGCAGGGAGCCCGACACGGGACTTGATCCCAGGACTCCATGATCACGCCCTGGGCTGAAGGCAGACGCTTAACCGCTGAGCCACCCAGGCGTCCCAAAAAAGTGTTGTAAAGAAAAGAAAAAGGAAAATACTCCTCACTAACTAGGTCATTTTTTACTCCATCCTTATCATCAATTACTAAGCACTTAGTTTTGGACTAAGCTTTTATATGGAGAATTTCACTTAATTTGGGAAAAGCTCAGGCTGAGAGCCTTCAGATTGGCCCAAGTCATTAGGGGGAGAGAAGAGCTCTGGCAGGTTGACTGTCAAGTCCACACACTGTCCATGGACAGCACCCCCACGGGCGGCCCCGCAGGACCAGGCCAGTGGCTGGGGGCTCGCAGGGGCCCAGGGGAGCGCGTCCTCCCTCCTGGAGGTCTCTGGGAGCTCTCGCAGCTCTTGATCCCAGCGCTACCAAGTGTGGTGACAAGGGCCACCAAACCCCAGAAAAGACCAACGGGGGGCAGGGGGGCCTGGGTGGCCCAGTGGGTCTCGCATCTGCCTC